ATTACTTATTAGCTCCCACTTATGAATGAGGATGTGCAGTATCTCTCTTTCTGTGCCTGGCTTATTTCACTTAACATGATTTTCTCCAAGCTCATCCATGTTGCTGCAAATGGAAGAATTTCATTATTTTTATGGAGGAGTAGTATTCCATTGTGTATATATACCACATTTTCCTTATCTAGTCATCTGTTGATGGACATTGAGGTTGGTTCCATAGCTTGGCTATTGTAAATAGAGCTGCCATAAACATGAGAGTGCAGGTATCCCTTTGACATGATGATTTCCATTTCTTTGGGTATATACCCAGCAGTGGGATTGATGGATCGTATGTTAGTTCTATCTGTAGTTGTTTTAGGAACCTCCATACTGTTTTCCATAATGGCTGCACTAATTTACACTCCCACCAACAGTGTGTAAGAGTTCCCCTTTCTGTATATCCTTGTCAGCATTTGCTATTCTCTATCTTTTTGATAATAGCCAGTCTAGCTGAGGTGAGATGGTATCTCAGTGTGGTTTTGATTTGTGTTTCCCTGGTGCTTAGTGATGCTGACCATTTTTTCATGTATCTGTTGGCAAGACGAGCTTTTTAAATAAAATGAAATAGAATAGGAAAGGAAACAGCATGTCATAAGTTTAAGTATTCTGTGAAACTTTTGTTTGTTTGACACACGTAGGTGTGGGGGGGTTTTTATATGGATGTCAACGTAAAATGCATTTCTTACTGTGTGTGTGGTCAATAACATTGGAAGGCCACTTCTTTGGATCTAGATTACCTGAGAAGTGGTAATGTGACCTCTCTAGTGTCCTTTCTCAGAGGCTCTAGATCAGTTGATTGTTGTAGTAAACGTTACTGCAACTAAAGGTAAAGCTTTCTTAGGCGTCACGTGTGTCTCCATTCTTTATGCTCAGGGGCACTGTTAGAGTGTGCATTCACTTTAAGAGATCATGTGTGCGTGCATGCCTCTCATAAATGAGACTGGAAATATGGGTGGGGTATTTCCTGTGGCCTCATTCATACTGTTCGATTATCTGAGACAGGCGCCTGAGAGTGAGCCACCAAAGTTAAGGGATCATTTGAAATGTCCAAAGGTGACTTTTTAAAGTCCTTTTGGTTGTCCAGTCAGTTGTGGTTGGAGTAGCTGTTTAATTTTTAAAGATAGTGAATGTGAATGTCAGAGATTCTTGAATTCTGCTCAGGTTGTTACTCAGAGATCTAGCCCATCCCTTTTAACAGCCTCCTAGAATTCCTTGCCTTACATTACTTAGCTATATTTCTCTTCCCAGTTTTTTGCTGTAAACAAACAATAGTGTAATGAGCATTGATGACACATTGTCCCTGTATGTACAAATTTATTTCAAAGTGGCTATACAAATCCATGATCTTACCAGCAGTATATGCAAATACTACCTCACCAGCATTGGAAGCAATCAGACATACTAATTTTAGCCATATGGGTAGATGTAAAGTTATGTCTCTCTGATTTGCATTTTCTTTGTTATTAATGAGGTTGAGCATCTTTAAATATTTTTATTGGCTATTTAAACTCTCTTCTATTGATTGCCTATTCGTATCCTTTGCCCATTTTTCTGTTGGATTTTTTTCTTTTTGTACTGATTTGTAGTAGTTTTGTATACATACACACATTATATGTGTTTTAGAAAGAAGTTGGATATTAAGAAATAGATGAAGGGCTGGCCCCGTGGCGCACTCAGAGAGTGCAGCGCTGGGAGCGCAGCGTCGCTCCCGCCGCGGGTTCGGATCCTATGTAGGAATGGCCGGTGCACTCAGTGAGCGCGGTGTGGGTGACACCAAGCCAAGGGTTGCGATCCCCTTACCGGTCACGAAAAAGACAAAAAAAAAAAAAAAAAGAAATAGATGAAGAACAAAGTGAAATTTACCAGTAATCTTACTGTGCAGAGATAACATAATTTTTTATCTTTCCAGACTCTTCTTAATACATATAGACTTGCTGCGTTATAATTTTTAATGGTTATATTTAGTGAATATTTGTGGTTTTAAACTTTTTACTATTATATACATATTGCAGTGACCAAGCTTTTATACATCTTTTAAAATCCTTGCCTTGGGATAAATTTTTAAAGTGGGATTGATGAGTCAAAGTGTATGCCCTGTTTGGGGGCTTTTTGATACATACTGCCAAATTGCCTTTCAGAAAATTTTAGTAGCTTATACTCCCTCATTAGCAGGGTTGGTGAGCTGCAGTTCTTACGCATTTGATTGTGTGATTGTACCCAAATAATTAGCAGATACAAGCTCTTTCTCTTTTAATCCTTTTGGAGAAAATTAGTCTGGTGCTTTGTATTAATTACTGAAGTTGAATGCCCTAAGATATTTATTGGCCATTTGTATTTTTTTGTGAATTGTTTATTCTTTTTACTCATTTTTTAAAGTTATATTTCTCTAATTTATTTAAATAAGCTATTTTTGATATGTTAGTTATTGCAGCTCTTTTTAAGTGTGTAGGAAACGTTTTCTCCCAGTTTTTCCTTTGCCATTTAACTTTATTTTTTTCCCCTGACGATTTTGAAGTTTTAAACTTTTACTTTAAAAGTTAAAACAGTTTTTTAAGTAGTTTTTTTTTTCTTTTCTTTATGATGTGTTGCTAGGCTGGCATGCTTTAAGAGCCTTTCAGCACTTAAAAAATATAGAAATTCAAAAAAAATCAGAAATTACAACATTTTCCTTTACTTTTACGGTTGCTTTCTTAGATTTAAATCTTTAGTTCATCTGGAATCCATTTTGATTTCAATTGCAAGGCAAAGCTCCAACTCCTCTCTTTCCATGAATTGGGTAGCAACAGTAAGTACTAACTAATATATCCCTGGACTGGCCGGTTAGTTCAGTTTGTTAGAGTGTGGCCTTGAAATACCTAAGGTCAAGAGTTTGGTTCCCCATACTGGCCAGCCACCAAAAAAAAAAAATAAGAATAATAATAATAATAACATATCCCACCATCTCCCCCCTTTATGAAATATATTTGTATTGTATGGTAAATTCCTTTATATAAGGGTACTTCAAGAAGTTTATAGAAAAATAGAATTAAAAGGTGATATGAGTCTTTTCTTGAACTTTTGAAGTACCCTTGTATACTAGAGTCTTTTGCTGTGCTTTGTTCTGTTCTATTGATCTTTCTATTCCTACTATTTCATTAGTTATTGAGCTCTTGGTCTTTTCTCATCAAATCTACTTTCCTGTTTTTTCCTTCCCATCAATAAATGGTATCTCTTCCCCTCAGACCAATCTAGAATTGTGGGAGGCATCTTTGACAGTCCCTTACTCTCAACATCTAATTGGTCCCCACGTCCTGCTGATTCTACCAACAAAATCCATGTAAAACTGTTCATGCCTCCATCTTCTTTGCCACCTCTCTAGGCCAAGCCACCATCTCTTACCTGGACTTCTCTAGTAGCCTTCTATCTTCTTTCCCCACTTTCACTTTTACCCTTGTCTACTTCATTTTCTACACAGCAGCAAGCAGGATCTTTTGAATTTATTTATATTTATTTGTCTTTTTTCGTGTCCGGCAACGGATCGCAACCCTCAGTGTCGCGCCCGTACCGGACCGGGACCGGCCACGGGATCGCAACCCTCAGTGTTGCACCCGCACCTCGCTCAGCCAGTGAGCGGGAACCGGTCTGTATGTGGGATCCGAACCCTCGGCGGGAGCGCCGCCACACTCCCAAGCGGTACACTGTAGCAGTGCGCCACCGGGCCGGCCCCTATATTTATTTGTTGTTTTTATAAAAAGAGTTATTGAATGAAAAAAATGTAGCTTTGTAATGCATTCTTAAAATGGTAGATGAGATCCTTATTGTTTTGGTTGCTTTTGTCTTGTTATAAAATTGTTTCTTACAATAATCGGAAAGCACTTTTAGAACTTCAAGTCTATTTTTCAGCCTTCATATTTTTTTTAATACCGTATAATACAGTTGTTGTAATTTAACTTTTTATTCAATTTTAAAATCTGGTTAGATTAAATCATCTTTTCAAAAATAATGGCCTTTGGGCCGGCCCGGTGGCGCACTGGATAGTGCGCCGCTTGGGAAGCGCGGCGGCGCTCCCGTCCGAGGGTTCGGATCCCACGTACAGACCGGCTCCCGCTCACTGGCTGAGCGAGGCGCGGGAGCAACACCGAGGCTTGCAATCCCGTTGCCGGTCCCTGGTCCGGTACAGGGGCAACACTGAGGGTTGCGATCCGTTGCCGGACACGGAAAAAAGACAAAAGACAAAAAAAAAAAAAATAATGGCCTTTGATATTTCTGCCAGCTTATTCTTTCAGGTGGATTTTCATCATTGATGTTTTTAAACTGTATCAGGTACATAAATTGGCATGTAAATTATAGAATAGGAACATAGTTTATGGCTTTACTTAATCATATTATCCTTTTTGTTTCTTTCAGAATTTCTGACTTGGGGGAGAAACTCATATCCCAAGTCAAATTAGTACTCATGGAATTAATAAGTTTTAATGCTGTTCAATATGTAGTCTTTTTTTTTTTAAGCATCGAGGAAGGCAGTTGATACTTGGTGGATTTATCCTATATCTACAACTTTGTTGAAGTCACTGTCTCTAGTAATTTTTTGTATTAATCTCCTTAGATTTTTGATATGTATAATTATGCCAAAATAAAGATCTTGATTTCCCCCTCCCCATCCTAGCACTTTCCCAGTCTCCAAATTATTCTATTTTAATTCTTCACATAGTGCTCATAATTACCTGAAATTCTCTTTTTCATTTATTTGCTTTCTGTTGTTATCGTCCCTTTTTTCCCTTTAAATTTTTTAATTGTATGAGAGCAATCTTGCCTTGTTGTTCCCTGCTGTATCCATAGTGCCTAGAACGAACAGCACTTGGCACAGAGTAGGCTTTCGATAAGTATTTGCTGTTGCATGAACATTCTCTATAATAGTCAGTATTTTAACTTTTCCCTTCCCTATATTTACACCCCATTTTTCTTCTCGAAAAAGAACTCTGGCAAATTAGAATGGCGCAAATTGTCATCGTTGGTATTCTTTTTCCTGTGTTATTTAAGAGCATGACGATATTATATGCTGGCTTTTGGTTTAAAATATATCCTTATATCCCAGAGATCAGTTTCAACAGGTATATTCATTTTATCAGCTTTTTTTCCTTTCTCCACTCACTCTGTGTTTGTGTGTGTGTGTATGTATTTTGGCCATTGCTTTTGGATATATTGTCATTTTATTTCTTAAATCTCTTCAGATGGTGTCTGTTACTCATGGTATCTCTTGCAGCAGGTTTTTATATTTTCACATATTTGAAAATCTGTGAGGTTTCCCAAGATTGACAAGCATGCAGTATATAGCAAAATAGGAGTCTTCAAAAGACAGTCCTATTTTATGCTTCTTTTCATAAGGCTAAAAAGATGTATTATCAGTCTCTTAATTAAATGCAGTGTGACTGTGCCTCCCTGTGAATCATACTAATCTGTATTGGAAGTCATCTGTGTCTGGTGGTCACATAGTGAAATATGGCATCTTTCGCAAATGATGGTTTTGAATTTTTGTCTTCTGGATATCTCTACTACGTTGTTCCTTATGGCCTCACATGCTTCACCTTCAATGTGTGATGAGTTCTTTCTGCACAGCTTCTTTTCCAGCTTCTCATTCCATTCCACTGTAATCCTTATATTTAGTTGTGATAGAGCTCAAAATTACCTATGGATTTGACTGTTCTCTTTCTTATAGGGAATGCTATATTGCTTAAAAGTTTTAAAAGCCTTCTTTTAAAAGCTTTAAAGGAAGGCTATGTGCTTAGAGGCTTTGTTACTTAAAAGTTTAGCCAGTTTTTAGAGGGAAAATAAAACTTTCTTCAGATCAGTAAAGTGTTTTGTGTGTGTGTTGGCAGTACAGGTGGAGGGCACGGGATGTTTAGTAAAATCAAAAGCTTCTGAGAGATCGAATCATTGATGTAGAAAAGTCAGCCTTCAAAAACCAGCACTTTCCAAGTAGATAATATTATGTTAAAGTGTAGTGTGATTAGGGCAATAAAGTGTCCAGTAAATAATGTCTACAAAGACAGGTAGACTTGTTCTAAGTAGAATTCCAGGAAGAAAGAATGTAAGCTATTAATTCGTATTTGTTTTCCTTTATCCCTTGGGCTGTTTGTTTACAGTACTGAGTAATTAAAGGTTTAAGAAGTGATAAACTGGTTTACTTACTACGCACAATATTAAATTGCATATACTGATCTGGGCTTTTTGTTTGTTTTTGGTTTTGTTTTTGACTGTTTCTGATTTTACAATCTCAGTCTTGAAACTTTGCCTTCCTTTCATTTCTTTGGTTTGCAAGTTTGAAAAGGAAAGCAGAAGTATCCAACCAAAGATGCTTTGTAAAACATCTTTTAAGGGAGAATCTTTTCCCGAAGGAAGTTTATTTCCTCAGTGGTGCAGTGGTTTTTCCTGTAGTCAGGCATTTTTGAGGAAACAAGAAGCAGCTTGTCTTTGATTATTGGTGTGATGGCATGAAAAGTAGATTTTCTAGTGAGATTTCCACAAGTGTTAGTTTTATTAGTATCATTTAAGAGCTCTTCTGTAGAGGATTTAGTTTGAAGATTTATTTTTCAAATATACTTTGGCTTTTTCACTTTTATTTTTTAGGCTGTGCGTGTTACAAAACCCAAAATCCCAGAAGCCATAAGAAGAAATTTTGAGTTAATGTGAGTAATATGCATGGGCTCCCAATATTTCTATTTAGGGTTGTCAACGTATTAATACACCAGTCTAGAAAATACGTGTGTGGTAATACACTCTGGGGTGGGCTGTGTCTATCTTCTATACTTTTATTCTAGAAATATTGCCTATTTGCGTGTCTTGATTCCCACTATACTTACTAGTTTTCTTTTTATGTATGTACATTTCAAGAGCAGTTTCTGTGGCTAAAGATACAGTTTGCTGTAGAACTATTGCTGGAAGCCTAATATAATTTGTATACAAATAGTTACTTAAATTAAATATTAATAGAAGAGAGAAAGAGTCCTAGCTGTTAAGGTTGAAAAGATTGCCCATATTCTGTTACTGTGTTGTAATGGTAAGAATAGACACCTTGTTGGTATAAAGTTTGGTTTTCCATTGTGTGTCATTGTGTACATAAAATTAGACTGGATCTTTATAATTTGCCTCTGGGGAAGCCTTGCTTGAGTTAACTCTTGGTACTCTTCTCTTTTATGTGTCCAGGGCTGCCTGGGAATGAGAAGTTACTAGTTTGACATGAAATTAGTTTCTAAGTGTTTTAGAAAATTCTCTTTATGTGCAAAAAGTATTGCCCTAAATTTGAAATGGCAATGTTATTCTCATATGACAGGTACTGAAAAGGAAAAACAAAGGACTTTAGGAAATTTGGCTAGTATGTTAAGAGGAAAAATACTATATACTGGACAAATAACTTTGCAAAAGTCAAGAATACAACAGATGTGTAAATGCAGGGGGCTGCAAGGAGTAGTAATACTGCTTTATAGGTTGATACACTTCTGTGTCCTTTTTGTTCCCAGGTCTATATCTTCTATCATGCAGAGTTTTATATTCCCTTTTTGGTTGTAGAAGAGGAACTCTTCTTTTAAAAATAGAAAGCATAGAGTACCAGGCTGGGTAGATCATGGGTCTGATCCAGTTATAGAAAAAAAAATTATTGAAGGTTCAAGATGTTTCAGACTTTAAATATGATTGCTTCTCATAATGGAAAGATAAATACCCTCAGATAACTCATAGTATTCAGAATATTATTTCATGTCTTTATCAATGTTGGCAGGAGGAAAGGGGAGGGGAGGACTTTGGGGGGAGGGAAATGTTTTGGGGAACATCTAGAATTACTTTTCAGATAATTCTGGATCTTTCTTAATTTTGTAGACTGTTGGAATTCCAAAATTAAAAGCCACCTTGGAATTTCCCAGTCTAACCTCTGGACTATTACTGATCTTTTTTTAATACCATTTCTGTTATGTGGTCACCCAGTAGCCACTTGTACATGCTTAGTGATAAGCCAGCCATTTTCATTATTAGAAGCTCAAATTCTTAGAAAATTTTTTACATTAAGCCCCAGTTCACTACCTAATAACTGCCACTTAGTTGTATCTTTTATACAACAAGTAGGGCCCACTGCACATGGGTGTCCACCTGAGGAGAGCAGGGCTGAAATCCAGCTCCATTCTGTTTGCCAGGCCATGTACCTGAGAGGACTGCATCTGCCCAGAGGCTGTTCCCTTTTTCTAATAGGCACAGCAGTGCTGTATGAGCTAGCAGGAAGCCTTAACAGCAAAGGAAGCGTTTATATACTCCCAGATGAGAGTACTTTTACATGATACAATTAGAAGGAAAAAAATCATACTCAAATTCAAATGTACTAAATTTCTTTTCTATCTCTGGGTGTCTTTGGGCAAATCATTTAATCTTTCAACGTCAGATTATTATAAGTAAAATAAAGTAATGACTCTCTTTCCTACCTTAACAGGTCAAAAAGTTCTTGTTGAAAAATGGTTGTCTGACCCACTATAGGGTCAGAATTACTGGCTGTGACCACACATAAGAGAAGCATTTCTAATTTTTATAATGTTTTGCTTCCCAGGGAGGCTGAGAAGACAAAACTTCTTATAGCTGCACAGAAACAAAAGGTTGTGGAGAAAGAAGCTGAGACAGAGAGGAAAAAGGCTGTTATAGGTACTTGAATTTCTTTCTGAAATGACTGTCTCTAAGTACGTGTGTTATGTTTGTTCTTTGTCAGTCTCTTAGTGGATGTTGATGGGACTCAATTTTGCGTTATATGTGGTGGAGAATTCTGGAAACCGCATTGTACTTTCAGATGCCCTAAAGCCTTTAAAAGTAGGTGAGGCCAGTTCTTAACGAAGTGCTTTGGCTCTGCATCATGTTATTGGCTGCCACTGTTGTCTTTTTCAAAGACAGCGAGAATGGATAGGGTTTATGGGCAGCTTTAGTCTCTGTGGAGTAGGGTTTTCATTATACAGATTAAAGAGGGAAGTTTTTTGGCCAAAGCTCAGGATTATAGTATGCATCCTTGCTATTGACATGCATCTAGTTTTATCTGGTAGATAATGCCATCTGTGAAAGTATGGCAGATTGCTTATAGCTCATTTTGAATTACAGTGGTTTCCCTCACACTCTAGAGTACTGCTATCTTAGGCCCTCAGTTGATGCTGAAAATGTAAGACATTTTTTGTTAAATATTCAAATATACAGGAATGTACAGAGAACAATATAATGGAAGCTTAAGATTTTACCCTATTTCCTTCAGTTTGTATTTCCTTTTTTTACTTTTCTTCTTCTTCTTCTTTTTTTTTTTTTTTTTGGTGGCTGGCTGGTACAGGGATCCCACTGTGCTAACCGGCCAACCCATATTTTCTTTTAAGGAAACAAATTATATATCTGTTTGAAGCCTCTTTTGTACCCTTCCCTGGTCTTTTTTCTCAGAGTAGCTTCTATTCTGAAGTTTGATGTATATCCTTTCTGTCCATATTTTTATACTTTTACTGTTAAGCATAAAATTTTTTGTTTATAGAATTTTTTCCCTATTTGAAACTACAACAATGGTATCAAACTCTTCCTTTTGTTTTACACCTTTCCTTTTTTTTTAAACAACATTGAGTTTTATTCGTATTGATACATGTAAATATAGTACATTTTTTAAGTACTGAGCATTTCATTCTATGAGCAGACTTCATTTTATTCTGATGAATTGACAATGAGGGCTTGGATAGTTTCTAGGTTTTCCTTATTACAAACACTGCTGCAATAACGTCCTTATCCATGTCTCCTTGTGCACTTGTGCAAGAGTTTTCCTAGAGCAGCGTTACTCAGCTTGTGTTCTGGGTCAGTGCCCTATCACCAGCTTTTTGTTTCTGAGCCACAATGAGATGAGCATAGAAATTGAGAATGAATGTTTAGAAGTTCTCATGGCATTTTAACATGGTACTTTCATACCTGTTGAATCTAATAAAAAGTTAGAGCTTATATATTTATGTTTTGGTTGTGGTTTTTAATTTCTTTTTTCTAATAATTCATTTTTATTATAGTTTATAATTTATTGGTTCCTAACAGATTGAAATACAAAAAAGCGGGGAGTGCTTTCCCACAAGTAGTTTGAGAAGCACTCTATAGAATACATATCTCAAAGTAGAATTGTGGGTCATAGGGTATGAATGTCTTCAAATTCAACATACTGCCAAAGTGCTCTCTAAAGTGATCCTTCCATTTTACCCTCTCTTCAACAATGTTTGAGTTCCAATTTCTGTGCTGCCAAATTTGAGTTCCTATTCCTGCACATCCTCCTCAGTCCTTGGAGTTATCAGACTTTTGAAAATTTATGCCAACTTGACAATGGACATGGTATCATGTAATTTGAATTTCCCTGCTTATTAGGAAAGTTTAATGTCATTTATTGTCATTCAGGTTTCCTTTTTTATTTTATATGTGAATTGCCTGTTCATATCCTTACTCCATTTTTCAGTTGCTTTTTTGAATTGATTTGTAGGAGTTTTTTTATATCTCCTGGATACTAATTCTTTCCCAGATTTATGTATTGCAAATATCTTCTCTCAATTTGTGGCTCATCTTTAACTTTATGATATCTTTGACATACATATATATTTAATTTTCATGTAGTCACATTCATTAATCTTTTCCTTTTATGGTTTGTGCCTTTCCTATCTTGTTTAAGAATTCTTTCCCTATGCCAAAATAATTATTTTATTTTAAAAGTTTTAAAGTTTGCTTTTCATATTTAGTCCTTTAATTCATCTGGAATTTATTTGAGTGTTTGGTGTGACATGGGGATTCAGTTTTATTTTTCCAAATGCCAAACCAGTTGATTTAGACTATTTATTGAATAATAGTTTATTATTTCCACTACTTATATCCTGTGCCACGTCTGTCATATAATAAGGTACTACTGTATATGTAATTTGTTGCTAGGATCTCTATTTTGTTCCAATTTTTTGGTCTATCTTTCCCCAGTATTACCTTATTTTTATCAATGTAGCTTTTATGTTAAATCTTGCTATCTGAGTGAGTTTCTTCTTAACTATTCCTCTTAACTATTAACTATTCCTGAAATTGTTCTAGCCCTTTATTCCTTGATATAAATTTAGAACCAGCTCCTCAAGTTCTGTAAAATACTGTGTTGGGATTTTGACTGGAATTACATTCATATACGTCAATTTGGAGAGAATTACAATATTTATGATATTGAATCTTATAAATCTATTATATTCCTCCATTTATGAGAATATTTTTCAAAAAGTGCCAGTTTTCTTCTTCAAGTTCTTGCACATTTGTTAGAGATTTATTCCTGTATGTTCTTTAAGATTTTGCTGTTATAAACAGGCTCTCTTTTAGGGGCATCTTCTCTAATTGTTGCTTTTGTATACGTTGATTTTTTTTTTGCTGTTGATTATTTATCAGTTTTGCTGAAAATGCTGTTATTTCTTATAGTCTCTTGGATTTCCCATGTTATCAAGCATATTGTGTTCAGATAAGGACGGTTCTGTTTTTTTCCTTTATAATCCCACACCTTGTATTTCTTTTTCTTATCTTACTGCTTTAAGCTATGAGTTCCGGTACAGTGTAGAAAAGAAAGATGGTGACAGGCATTCTTGTCTCCCTTTATAATCCCACACCTTGTATTTCTTTTTCTTATCTTACTGCTTTAAGCTATGAGTTCCAGTACAGTGTAGAAAAGAAAGATGGTGACAGGCATTCTTGTCTTCTCCCTTACTTGAGTAGTCCCAATGACATTTTCTATACTTAGTATTTATTAGTTAATGAAATTTCCTTCTGTTCTTTGCTTGCCAAGAGCTTTTAATGTGAATGGCTGTTAAAACTTGTAGAATTTTTTTCTACATATGTTGAGATGAACATATGATTTTTCTTTTTAAAGCTGTTAATAGGGTGAATTATATTAACAGATTTTCTCTGACTAAATTATCTTTGCATTCCTGGTATAAACCCACTTGATCATAATGTAGGAGGTTTACCCCAATACATTTCTCTATATTGTTTGCTGGTAATTTCTTTAGAAGTTTTACTTTTATTTTCATAAATAAGATCCCCTTATAATTTTCTTTTTTTTATCCTCTGCTGTCAGTTTTTTTTTCTTTTTTTCTTTTTTTTTTTTTTTTGGTATCATGGCTGTACTAGTCTCAAAATGAGTTAAAGAGCATTTCTTCATTTTCTATGTTCTGGAGCACTTTGCAGAAGTTTATCCTTTGTTGGTCTCATGGAACTCACTTATAAAAACCATCTTGGTCTAGCAGGGTCTGTGCTTTTTTTGTTTGCTTGTTTGTTTTTTGTGGCAAAATTCAACCTACTGATTTAATTTCTATATTGAGTATAAGCCTATTCAGCTATTTCTTTCTTTTAAGTCAGTTTTGGTAACTATATTTTTATAGAAAATAGTCCCATTTCATCTTATATTTCAAATTTGAAGGCATAAATTTGTTTGTAGAATTCTTTCATAGTTTTTAAAACCTCTGCCAAATCTGTATACCCCCTTTTCATTCCTAATATTATTTTTGCCTTGTCTTTTGCTGAATCAGTTTTGCCAGAGGTCTGTCTTATTCATCTTTTCAGAGAACTGGCTTTTGTTTTTTGGTTTTTTTTTTGGGGGGGGGGTTATTGTTACTTTATTTTAAATTATATTATTTACACTTATTTTCTAATTGTTTTGAGTTTACTCATTGGTTCTTTTCTGACTTCTTGACTTAGGTACATGTACTTAATTCATTATTAATTTTTAGTTTTTTTTGATTGAAACATGTAAGATAATTAATTTTCTTCTAAGCACTGCTTTAGCTGCATCTCACAAGTTTTGAAATGTACTTTGTTTATTGGTGTTCTGTTTTAATTCTTTTAAAAACATTTCCATTATATTTCTTTTTTGACTCATGGATTATTAAAAGTGTGTCTTTAAATTTCTGGTTCAGTGGGTTTTAAGGGGCTAACTCTTTGTTGTTGATTTCCAATGTTACTGTATTGTAGTCAGAAAATAAGATCTGTTATACGGATTCTTAAGTGTTTGTTGAAATTTGCTTTGTGGCCTATTTATTGTCAGGCTTATGATTTGTGTTTTTCACATCTCTTCTGTATTCTTCTAATTTTTGCCTTTTTGAGCTGTCTGTTACTGAGAAAGGTGTGTTAAAATCTCTCACTATGACCATGGATTTGTTGACTTGAAATTATTTTCTTTATATATTTGGGACTATATCATTAAGAGCACTCAGGTTCAGGATCATTACATCACCTTGGAAAATTGCTCCTGTTTTGTAATAACCTTAGGGATAACTAAACATGTTTTTTTTGTTTAAGATCTATATAGCTGTGCCAGTGTTTTCTTGGTTAGTTTTATTCTTGGTGTATCTTTTCCCATCCTTTTACTTTCAACTTTTCTATGTCATTATGTTTTAGGTGTGTCTCTTGTAAACAGCATATAGCTGGATTTTGTTATCTTATCCAATGTGAGAATCTGTCTTTTAACTGGTGAGTTTAGTCTTTTTATATTTATTGTGGTTACTGCTATATTTGGATTTGTTTGTATCACATAATTATGTGCTATTTACCGTGCATTTTTTTTCTCTGCTGCCTTTTCCCCTCTGTTCTGACTGGTATTGAACTGATTAAATTTTCCATATTATTTTCTTGTTCTTACTTAATTGGAAGTTTTACATTCTACTTCTAGAATGTATAACTAGTTATTACCTGTAAAATGTTAACAAGTATACTTGACTTAACAAAATCTAATCATTCTATCTTTTTCTTGAACAATACCTTAGAGTGTTTTAACTCTCATCACTGTCCTTAAGTTTTACATATTATTATTGCCTAGAATTTTAGTTTCATGTTGTATTTATCCTCCCACTGATTATCATATTATTGATTCTTACAGTAAATATTTTGATTTACATGTATTGAGTAATTTTTTCCTCTCCATTGCTTTTGGCAATTCCTCTTTTTTTCTTTTAGTTTTTTTTCTTTTTTAATTTTGCACAAGTGGCAAAAATTTGGTTTCAGCAGAAGGTGATCAAGAAAGAAACTGAAAAATGCATTTCTGAAATTGAATTTTAAAAAAAGGCTAAGGAGTAGAATACTTCTTCAGTCTTTCTTGGTCTGAAAATGCCTTTATTATCTTGAATGGTAATTTAGCCTATAATTCTAAACCAAACTAAACTTATTTTTCCTTATCACTTTGGCAATATTATTTCCTTTTTGTTTGGCCTGTTGTACCTGTTTACAAGTATGCTGCCAGTCTAACTGATCCTTTTAAGTATTCAGTCTTTCTTCTCTTTTTGCTGTTAAGATTTTTCTCTGTATTTGGGTATTCTCCAGTTTTATTATGATGTGTCTAGAAAAAGCTTACTTCTCACTGTCTAAAGGTTTTTAGACTCTCTTTCACTAGAGTTGCAGCCCTCTAGAGGTATTGGTTTTTTGTTGTTTTTTTTTAATTGAATCATAATTGATTATACATAATTTTGGGATTCAGTGTTGACATATGTTGATCAAATCAATATTACTAGTATGTATATTGTTACAAATTTTACTTATTCTTTATGCCCCTTATCCAATCTCTCCCTATGCCCCTCTCCCTCCCCACTCCCACCACTGATAACCCTAGATTTCTTCTCTCCCTCTGAAAGAGTAATGGTTACTTTGTTGATTTGTTGCCTAGATGATCTGTCCAATGCTGAGAGGTGTGTTTAGGTCCCCCAATATTATCATAGAGCAGATGCTTTTTCTGTCACTCTGGTAGGAGCTTTGTGGAGAGAGACATCCTCTTCTTTTCTTTGGTCTCTGTTGGTGACCCTCCTTGTGTCAGTGCACTACAGGGGCTGGTGAACAATCTGCATGGTGGTTGTGATGTCTAGCCACTTTCGTGGCAGCCGTGGTTACTGTGGTGGCTATGGCGGGCCACCCACATGGAGGTGATGTTTTTGGCATGCTCCTTGGTGCTGGTGGTGTGCCTCATTGTGGGAAGGGTCCAGTCCTCGGCTCCATACCCCAAGCCCCTAGGTGGGGCCCTGAGGCACTGGCACAGTGTGCCTGGGCTGGAACTAATTTTTTGTCCTTTATTTACTTTTAAAACAGGGAATCTTCCTGTGGGAACCAGTACTTGAGCTGTGTGGTTGAGCTAAATTGCTGCTTTGCTGCTGTTTCCCTAGTGAAGGCTTTTTGTGCAGCTCAGGGTTTAACAGTTGACCTTATACTACTTCTGGCTCTCCAGAGTCCCAGTGCACCTGGGTTGTGTAGAAACTCTGATCTGGGCCTGAATCTTTTCATCAAAATGCACTCCATGCAATTCTGCATTCCCAACCAGTCTCCTCTGAGTGGTCCTGTGCTGATTGGGGGGTGGATCGGCTATCCTTGCTTGTGTCTCAGTATTCTGCCAGTTGGCCCATCTCTCCCACCACCCGTGCTCTGAACACTTCCTGGGCCCTGCGCCAGTCCATTGTGATGACTCACCGGCCTCTGAATGGTTCCCGTTTTTCAGCTGTCTGGCTCCTCACTCCTGCATGGGTCCACGGGAGCCCTATTAGTGGTCTTGCTGTCCTGGGGGCCATCAAGTCCCTCTTCTCCCCTGCTGCCTCCAAGCAACTTCATCTGAAGGGCACAGCTGCGGCTTCTGCCGGCTCCTGCTCCACATGCTCAGCAGCTCCAGCCTTAAAGTGGCCACTGCCCAAAATGCTCCAAGCAGTTTTTTGTTTCTCCCATTGTGACTTCTCCCACTTCATGAACTCTGTAGGTCTCTTCTCTTCCCTTGAGCTCCAGTGGCCCCAGCTTGGCTGTTGTTACATTTTTATAGTTGTAAATTGGTTGATTTGTGGGGGAGAGTGACGCTGGGGACCATCTATTCCACCATCTTGACCAGAGCCTCTAGAGGTCTTGGTTTTTATGGTGGAGTCTTAGTTCTAGCATTGCTCTCATTTCCTGGTCCTGCATGGGTAGTAACCCTTGTCTGTCTCCTTTTCTCATCTAATAACCATCCCCCAGGGCTGCCACCATACAAGCTCCCAGCTCACCCTTTGCTCATATCACCTAAGCCAATCTCCTGTTCTTTCTTAGGCACTTAGCCATGCATTAAAAAGCAAATTTGCGGGCCAAGCCTGTGGCGCACTCAGGAGAGTGCGGCACTGGGAGTGCTGAGGCCGTGGGTTTGGATCCTATATAGGGATGGCCGGTGCACTTGCTGGCTGAGTGCCATGCGGCCGGTCTCAAAAAAAAAACAAACAAAAAAAACCAATTTGCTATGTTTTATGTAGCATTTTAAGGTGTTGTTAGCTGAAGGGTTTTCTCACTAGCCTATTCTACCAGTTTCCTAGAACTAGAAGACTGGTCATGCTCTTTATTTATTTCCACATGACAGAGTACAGTGTTGAATGGGATTACCACAAAAGTCCCCCTTTGTTGAGACAACATTCTCTGGGTTTCAGCTGTAGGCTCCAGATCCCTTACCTTTTATTCAAGTTTTATCTTGATCTTCTGCTTATAATGAAATTTCTAGCCCAGTTGAGCATAGTGGTTTATTTTTCGGATGGCGTAATATAGATTGATTTAACTCTAATGTCCCTGGAGTAGTTTGTAAAGGATACTGTCTTCTGGAAAGAAGAAACCACTTGGAAATTTTCTTTCCATTATGCACTTGCCCCATGGGTCAAAGATAAGATATGTTAAAATACTCACCTTCTCTGGCTGAAAGGGAGAATTGAGAATGTTCTTTGAGAATTGCAGTGATTAAGTTTGAAATGTAATTAGAGTCTTTCTTCCCTGGTCCTGAGTCCTTTGGTTAGGCTGGAAGTTTACTAAGAGTGTTTAATTTCTCCTGTGTATACCTGCCTGCTGCAGCTAACATATTCATTCCCAACATTTGCTTTCACATTTTCAGATGAATCATACTGCTTTCTGTTTTATCTTCTACAGCAATCAGAATACTGCTCCTTTGATATTATTTTCATCATGTCATTTCCCTTATGATAACTTATAGTAGATCCTAAGTATATTAAAACTAAGTTCCTTAGCCTATCACTCAAGGCAGATGTCTTCTTGCCCTTTTTCTATTCTTATTTTTTGTCTTTTCTTGTCAGCTGGCTGCATATAACCTATTCATTATGACTTGTTCCTTTATACTTTCTCATCCTTATGCTTCTTGCCATGTCCTCCTAGATCATGTTCATTATTTCAATATGGTTACACTTATCTCCCTTTTTCTTTCTCCTGCCACATTATATAATTGTCCTGTGTTGCTGTGCATTTATGTTGTTCTGTTTTTGTTCTGTGGTAATTTCATAAAGTATCATTTTTTTCCCATTAGCTTGTGGACCATTGCTATATAGTCCCGTGAAGGATTGAAACTATTAACCTTTTGTTTTCCCTCTTCCCACAAACCTTCCACTGTAAAAATAGAACAGTGAATTAGGAAATAAATTCCCTTTTTTCCTTTGAGTTGTTCATAGTCTGGATAGATAAAACTTAATGAAACAATTAGCCCATAACATTGTGTAATTAAATGTTAGACCAATTAAATGTGTGCTGCTAATTTTAAGGGTCTCAGAAACTAGAGAGATGTTTTTGAATGTGTCTTCTTTTGTTGTGTAATTATAGAAGCAGAGAAGATTGCACAAGTGGCAAAAATTCGGTTTCAGCAGAAGGTGATGGAGAAAGAAACTGAAAAGCGCATTTCTGAAATTGAAGGTACATTGGGGAGCAATGGGGTTCTGACTGTGCTGCATTTTTGACTCAGGGATTGGGCTCTTGTTGTGGTGGGTGGGAATGCCAAAGACAGAATAATCTAGTCTGGAGGAACTACATGGCCTGATAGTCCAGACAGATTTTTAAGATTTGCTATTATCTAGCTCTTGGTTTGGTTTGTGACTGTGGGTATTTCAATTTTTTGTTCCCTTCCTTAAAATGGGGCTTATTAGCTACCACTTTCTTCTCAGGTAAGAATTACCCATAATCAATTGTAAAAAGTGTACAAGTTAATAAACACCACCACTACCAGTTTCTTCTCCACTTGTCCAAAAAAAAAAATTGGAAAAACAGAAGCCCCAGTATTCATGGAGGATCTGAAACCCCTTGATTTCACGTAGTAAGATGTTGATGTTCTTAGTTCACAGACTTTTGCATGTATAGTACTGCTTTCTATCTTTCTGTGTCAACTGATTGTAGATCAGATTTGGAGGGGATGGGGACATTGCAGTAAATAAAGCAGAACATTCATGTCTGGACTTAGTTATTTTACTTGAAGCCTTTGGGTGATGGGAAGTAGGAGAAGGCATGGAGGAAAGAAGAAGCAACTTCAGGTAGAAAATGAGTGGGCTCAGATGAGCTGAGAGTTACAGAACAGTTTCAAGAGTATTCCCCTTTGAGAAGGAGCTGTCTGGGGACTGGGATTTGAAAACTGTTAATGTTGTTATAAATGTTTAAAGTGAAGTAAACAGTTGAAATATTAGGTGGTGGAGAATGGGACTCTTACCAGCTGAGGGAATGGATTTGGAACTTTCCTTTGTTTTAAACATCCTGACTCTTTTACTTGCTAGATGCTGCATTTCTGGCCCGAGAGAAGGCGAAAGCAGATGCTGAGTATTATGCTGCACATAAATATGCCACCTCAAACAAGGTGACTGGTTCTCCATGCCACTTTCCTGGTGATTTTGGGGTTTTGCTTTTCCTTTTCAGGGGCTCTAATATGATAGAGGTGATTTTATCCAACGTCAAGGAAGGGTAGTGACCAGCACATCCTCCAGAATCAGCCAATCACTTAGCAAGACATACTGCACTCTTATTGGGTATGGAACTTTGTATAGTTCTTTATAAAAGAGGGGAGCTAGGGCAAAAGCAAACTTATAAACACAGGTCAAATACCATAAATCCATTCATTTGTACTGCAGTATGATCAGTAAAGTTGAAGGTTTTCTCTGGAAATGACAAGAGTGACAGGAAAAGAGGAAAGTTCATTTAGAATTGCTTTCTAGATAAGGTAGCTTTTTTGATAGGTTCTAAGCTTTAGAGTAGTGTTTCTCATCAGAGACATTCTTGGCATTTTGGAGTGAGGTATTTTTTTATTGTTGAAGACTGTTTTATGCATTGTGGGTTATTTTGCATTCCTGGTCCTTGACGACTAAATGTCAGTAGTGCTCATCAGCTGTTTTGTCCTTTTTTTTTTTCTTTTTTTTTTTTTCGTGACCGGCAACGGATCGCAACCCTCAGTGTCGCGCCCATACTGGACCAGGACCGGCAACGGGATCGCAACCCTCAGTGTCGCGCCCGTACCGGACCGGGACCGGCAACGGGATCGCCACCCTCGGTGTTGCACCCGCACCTCGCTCAGCCAGTGAGCGGCCGGTCTGTATGTGGGATCTGAACCCTCGGCGGGAGCGCCGCCACGCTCCCAAGCGGCACACTGTAGCTGTGCGCCACCGGGCCGGCCCCTCATCAGCTGTTTTAACAACCACACACACACATATTTCTAAATGCCCCCAATTGAGTACTTCTTGTTTATGGATTTAAAAAACAGTTCCAGTCATGAGGAATTACTTGAGAAGGGAGGTTGGGTGGTGTATGAGTGAGCGATTTTTGTGTAAGTACTAGGGTAAGTTGGCTAGAGAGTATAGGCCTAGTGAGCTGAAGTTATTTAATTAAGAGACAGCTAGAACCCCTATAGTATTTTGAGAAGGGAAGGATATATCCATGATTTATAAGGTTATTAGTTGTAAAGTAAATTAGAACAGATAAAGGATAAGGGAGAGATTGCTGAAGTGTACGATGCAGTTTGAAGGATTAGAGTGAAGATTTAAGGTATAGACAGGGCTTCAATTTTCAATATAGAAAGGAACAGCATAGTCTGTATTTAGAAGAAATGCTAGGATATTATAGGTTGACAGAATGAAAGTTGTCAGTACTGTGAGCACCAGGGTAAATTTAGAAATAAACTTAACATTGGAGGGCACAACTGTATAGAAACAGAATGGAATTTGGTCATGAAGAAGGCAAAATAGGAAACTTTAGTTTATAAAACTAGCAGTCCAAATTTGTAATGGAAGAAGCGGCCAGGCACGAATTAAGACCTTACCATTGAGGTCAGCCTTATTCTGAAAGGGGCAATAAATAGTTTTTTTGCCATTTTGGAAAATGCTACTTATATACCAACCTACATTAAAAGGCTTAGGAATTAATTTGGTTGTGCAGTTTTAGTCTATTTCTGCTCCTTATAAACAGAACTCCTGAAACTTGGTAATTTATAAAGAAAGGAAATTTATTTCTTACAGTTTTAGAGGCTGGGAAGTCCAAGGTTCAGGAGACACATGTGGTGAAGGCATTCCTCTTGGTGGTAATGCTCCACAGCAATGCAGGGTGTCACATGGTGAGAATGGGCTGAGCAAAAGAGCTGAACTCCTCACTTGCCCTCCTTATAAAGCCATCAAAAGCACACCCATTACTCCATGAATGGATCAATTCATTCACAAGGGCACAGTCCTCACAATCTAATCACCTCTTAAAAACCCTACCTTTCAGTTACCATAATAGGATTTCCCACCCTCTTAACACTTTTACAATGGAGATTAAGTTCCAATATATGAACTTTTGGAGGACATATTTGACCCATAGCATGCGCTATTACCATATTTGATTGCAATGTTTTGACAGAGGTTATGAATCAGCTGGAGAGGGTAGAGATCCAGGGAGTGAAAGATGGCAGAGTGCAGAAAATAGAGGCTGTGGGTCTGTGAAGGACAAGATGGGCTTTTGCCTGGAGGACAGTCTGAGACTCAAGATGAGGAGAGTTTCACTAGGGAGGGTTCTGAGGGGGTTTGGGAGGCATATATTCCAGGGAACAATGAAAATGAGTTTTAATCAAATCCAGAGAGGTTTTGGTTGGATATATTTTGGCACCATGATTTAAATAAAACAGAATGCTGTGGGACAGTGAGGGAGGTAAAGAAAAGAGGCCAAATCTCATGACTTCTTGAGATCTTTTCTAGTTCTACTGTTTGGTCAAGAAAAGCAGAATCACTGACAGCTGATAATAAGGTTATGAGCCCAGACCCTTCCTTTGAAGCTCTGCTACTCTCATTCATTGGCCTGTATACCTCTCTCAAAAAAATCAGCAGAAATTCCAGACCGATTCCAGGTTGAATTCAGTTAGATGAAATTAGAAAGCATATACAAAAGTACTTCATAGGCCCTAAGTTGCTGTAGAAATGTTAGTTATTATCATTAATTAGTTATCATTAATTTTTCCCCCAAACCCTTCTTACCAGTCCTTTTATTAAAATGAACAGCTTCTCCTGCATTAAGACAGACTTGTTGAAGGAGTCTTAAGTCAGGAACATAGCTGTTAATGTGATAGTCACACCCCAAAGTGAGAGAGTCACTGGCAACCATTCAGAGTTGAGTCATGTTATTCAAAAGAGCACCAGGAGAGGTGGATGTAGGGGAAGAGAGAGATGACTGTTGCACCAGCGTGTCTTGATGCATTTGCTCTTGTTTGTCCCACACAGCACAAACTGACCCCGGAATATCTGGAGCTCAAAAAGTACCAGGCCATTGCTTCTAACAGTAAGATCTACTTTGGCAGCAACATCCCTAGCATGTTCGTGGACTCCTCTTGTCCTTTGAAATATTCAGATGTTAGGACTGGAAGAGAAAGCTCCCTTGCCTCTAAGGATGCTCTCAAACCCTCTGGAGAGAGTCCTATCCAAAACAAGGAGAGCACAGGTTGATGCAAGAGGTGGAAATATTCTCCTATATCAAGATGTGGCCCAAGAGTTTCAGTGGGAACAGTGGTTATATGGGCTCTTCAGAGAACTTACAGAGAACTTGTGCTCCATCTGTTCTGCCTCTCCTGTGATAGTCCTGCTTTGTCAGCTGATTGCAGGATAGAGCCAGCTGTCTGGCACTCAAATGGTCTTTACAGCCACAGTTTTATCAAGTGTCCTGTATGTGTTTCTTTCTAAACTGGTACTCATGAATGAGGGAAAGTCTGATGCTAAGATACTGCCTGCACTGGAATGTTAAACACTAAATATATAACAAGCTGTGTTTTTCTAAGCTGAGATTTATTGAATAATGTTTACATTGGTCCCTGGGGAAATGTGTGCTCAGCCATTCAGAGAGAAGATGGCCAGGATATGGTAAGTTAAAGAAGACTGATTATACCTGGAACCCAGGCTCTCTCTTTGGGGTCCAGTCTCAGCATTCATCCATGTGATTAACATCCAGGTCACCAAGGTTCCCAGGAAATGATCTTCCACTTGAGCAAAGATTTACTTGATTTGATTTGCACCTTTCTGTTTTCCGACAGTCACGTTGGTGGCCTGCAGACATGTGTGCTTTGCCACCTAACCAGAGATTCCTTATAGAGGTTCCTAATCACTAGTTCATTGCATTAGTAGGCTCAGCGATAAAGAGGGCTTGGTTTGAAGCTTTGGGTGATATGAAATCTTTGCTATGAGCCCAAGCTCTGGGGCCCTGCATTTCCTCCATTGAGTGATGACTGTCAGCATCACTGCTCATGCCATGTGTGACTAAGGTGCCTGTTTTTTAGCCACAGTTAACTCCTTGTGTCACCTCTTAGCTGTCTCTGACCTAGAGCGGGAAAGGGCTTTAACCAGAAATAGGAGCAGCATACAATTCTTAGCCTTTACTGCACAGTATTGTATCAATTGCAGGAAGTTTTTATTTTTAAAACTGGATTTGGGGTACATTAATTTGCTCCAGCCCTTCTGTTTAAAGGCCAAATCCTAGGGCTGCATGGTTACTCGCATGTAATTCTCCTTAATATGTTCATCAGGAGCCCACACAATGTTGAACAGAGAGTAACCTAGAAAGTATCCTTGGTCATAACGTTGTCTCCTTCCCTCCTGGCCCGGAGATGCTGAAATCAAAGTTATATCTCCAACTTTCGCCTTCCCTAAGAGATCAAGATTTTACTGACTTCCTGGCAACCAGCAAATTTAATTTTCTGTGAGAAGATGACAGAGTTAACTTGTGGCAATAGGAGACCTACTTCATACGGACCTTTTCTTCCTTCAGATTAACTTTCCTGGAACCGTGTGCCGCATAGTTAGGCCTGAGTTTCTGTGACTTGTTAAGACACCTCTTGTGCGCACCATGTTGAAGCCAGACAGAAAAGTCATGGGACCACTCCAGAAACCTTTCAGCTGTCAGTACTGTCAGCTTTGTGACAGCTTGTGGGTTGTGCCAAACACTTTATTTGGGAAAGGAAAGCCCAGATTTGAATGGGTTTTTTCCCTGGGCCTTATACTATACAGGCATTTGTAATATGGAGAAAATAATTTTTTTTTGCTCATTTAATACTATACATTCTCTTTATGAATGAATTTTGTGTTCTTTAGCCCTTCTTAAAAGATTTTGTGAATTATAAAAGTAAACCTTGAACTTGTCATATTGCTGCAGATAAATACTGATTGTTGTGGGAAATCTGGATCATTGACCTCTGTGCTTTTATTCCTAGAGATGTTTCCTATTCACATGAGTGAAAAGCTGTTGCCCCAAAGTGATGACTGTGGCTTTTCTTACCAGCCACAAGCCCTGGTGGCAGGGTTGAAGAACAGGGAAATGCCATTGTGGAGTTTTAAAGAAAGCACTTCCACTGAAACTCCCCATGGGTGTGCTTCCCTGCACCCACTCAGTGAGCTCGAAGTCTAGCCATCCTTCAGGGATGTTCCTTTTGGCAATTATATACTGTAATCTTGAAGTCTAAATTTATATGTGAAATGCTACATTTTTAAAAATAAGACACTAAATAAAATTATTTTACTATCAGTGATTTGTGTTTTTTCCCATGTCTCCATTCTTTTCTGTTGTCTTAACATCCTAAGTCTGTCTTGCCAATTTCAACTAGGTAACCAGTTTATTTCCTGGTTTAATTTAACTGTAGAGACTTTCTTATGCTTTTCCCAGAATACTGCCTACTTGGTATAAGAATTTTAAAAACAGTTTCCACTCTTTCCTGATTCCTGGAATTTAATAAAGAACAGGGCCCAGCAGCAGAGGAGCAGAGAAGGAGAATAGAGTGTCGTGCCCCTTGGAGCCTTCCCTGAGAGCTAGAAGGCAGGAGGCAGTTATACTGAGGAAGGACAACTTGTATAAACCGTACCTGGCAATGATGATATGGTATAACTAACTTCACTGATTCAGATGTTTTTGGCCCAAGAGCCAGGGTCTTCCCAAGCACTCTACATTCCCTCCTGGGGACAATTTTCACGGTGATGTTGGGCCAGCAGGGAGTGGTAATTGGGGGTTTGGGGGAAAGCAGCCCTTCACTCTCAGGTTCTTCTGGGATCCAGCCCACAGTATCCTATATCAGCTGCTGCAGACCAGGGAGATTTAACTAATTTGAACTGATTATTCTGTAGGCTTTTGGTAGGTATTAAAATGAAGTGATTTCTGCTGCTTGCTGTGGGGAAGAAATTTCACAGCTCCTCATTGCTTTAGGATTAAGTCCCAAATGGGTGAGTGCAAGGCTGTCCCTGATCTGGCTCCTGCTGGCCTCTCCAGCTACTCTTCTGTAGGGTCCTTGACTGCACCTTCTCTCTGTCCCTTTGCATATATTGTTCCATCTGCTGGGTTCATTTTTCCTCCCTTGTAGTCCCAACTTCGCTTTGGTTGCTCATAATCATTCTTCTCTTCTTCAGAGAGGTGACCCTGAACTACTTGCTCGGGTTAGCTTCTTGTACCTCCCCCTCTGTAACACTCTTCTCATCTCATTACCTGCCTAATGTGTGTTTTCAAAAATGCTGAGCTCACTGAGGGCAGGGACTGACTGCTGTTCCTGGAGGGGTAGTATCTATTGCTAATGCCTGCTATGATGCCTGGCCCATATGAGTCGGTCAGTTTTGTTGCATGAAAGAACAAAAGGACGAATGGTAAATGCAGACAAGTAAGCAGTGGAAGAAGCAGGACTTAGAAGTTAGGCTAGAGTGTCCATGTCAGGACTTCATGTGTAGAATGGGAAGTTACCTAACATCTCTGAACCATTTACTCATCTTGCAGGGTGGCTCTTCCGTGGGTTCAACAAGATATGTTGTATCTAGCATAGTGACTCACATGTGGTTATTGATGAGATGCTTTGGTTCACCTAGACTGTAGGAGTCAGTATATGTTTCTGTGTCTGAGTAGACTGTAAGTTCAACTAATGGGGTGAGCACAGTGCCTGATAGTTACAAGGTCTTCAGCAGCTATCAGCTAAGCTAGCTGGATTTTAAAGCTCACCCACAGACCTCCAGGGACATCCCAACAAGCTGGTCCAGCTCGAAGCTCGAAGCTCTAAATTTAGGGAAAATTCCAGAGGATATGAGGCCTGCAATAGAGGCCAGGAAAACGGGTAAAACAAATAGCTAATGTGTGATATGAAGTGGTGACCCATGTTTTGACTTTCTCTGTCCTTTGCCAGGCTTGGCAGAAGTGCTCTTGGTGAGCAGGGCAGTATGGCAGCTAATTCCTGAAAGATCAGCCCTTTCGAGCCTGGAGAAGCAGCTCTCCTTGCTTATTAACAGGAAGCAAGTAGGCTGTAGTGGATGCTATGTCATATCACCCAGATTCCATGTTCTCAGGTGTGAAGCATTCATTCTCCCAGTTGCTGGGGGAGTCCCTGCTGACAGCTCAGTGGAGTTGCTCTGCAAAAACTTCCCTTGGCTGAAGAAAGCCTCTCTACCCAAGGGCACACCCCCTTTCTGGGGACAGCCCACATTCAGTAAGAGGTTAATGTAGGAACAGAAATGCCAGTAGAGTTACTTGAACCCAGCAATTTGTCCAAAAACAAATTTGCGTTGTTTTTCCCCATTTGCAAGTGTGTTGGGATTTGCATCTTAACAGTGACAATAACCATAGCTGGAATTCAGACACATAAGGAAAGTTCTGACAAACTGGGTATATCTGACTCCTCTGGCACCCTCCTGCAATTCTGCTCAACCTCACCTCTAATTCCAACTGTGGCTGTGGTGGACATTTCCACACAGGCATCAACTCTTTTTCTCTGACTGCATCTCACTTCGCACATGCACTTCGCATGCTGTTTTTCACCTCAGGGATCCTCCAACACTATGGAAA